AGGATCAAAATAATTAAATCTAAATTTATTTGAACTATCGAAAAGGAAGAAAGTTTAACTAAAAAATTATAAAAGGAAAATAACAATTAAATTAAACCTAACCAAGAGATGAGGTACTAAGGCATTGATTTCACCATAATCAATCAATATAAATTCGGTTAAATCCCCGATTCAGTCCCTCAACTTTTATTTTTGAACTAAATTTACCCTCAAACTTCAAAAAGTACTAAAAAAATCCTTGAACTTCAATTTTCGAGACCAATTTCGTCCTTTCGTCGACAGAAGTGCCAGATGGCACGTTAAGTTGCCACGAAATCAATTCTTGTTTGAAATCTTTAATTATATGGAAAATAACTTATCTCATTATTATCCACATCATTTTAATTAATTTATATATTAAAAAATTTAAAATTCCTTAAATACCCCATCTTCCATCCCCTCTTGTCTCTCTCTATCCTCAGATGTCTCCTCATCTTGCAACCCAATCAACACCGATCATCCTTTATTACTTCGGTCATCCTTTATTACTTCGGTCATCCCTCATTGCTCCGATCATCCCTCATTGCTCCGATCATCTATTACCACTCCAATCACCATCTACTTCTTCCCCAAACCTCATCTCTAATAGAACTCAAATTTGGTTCTTCACAAAATAATAATGACCAATAGATTTGATTCAAAAAATCAATTTCTCTGCAAATGTATACTAGATCTATAAAGAAAAATGTAAAAAACACAACATCCCTTCAATCAACACCAACAGTAACTAAATCTGGAAATTCAAGCAATAAAAAGCCACACAAAACTCTAAATCCCATTCAAGCATGACTATAAGCCAACAAAGAAACAGAACAAAAAACCCAGGCGAGTTCAACTCAAACCCAAGCGTTGGGTTCGGAACCCAGGGCCTGGGTTCGAGGAACCCGCGCCTGGGTTCGAGGAACCCGCGCCTGGGTTCCATCGAACCCAGGCGTGCTGGGTTCGAAGGAACCCAAGCTTGGGTTCCTCTTCATCGTAGCCATGGAGGGTGTTTTTTTTTTTGTTAACTCCAACATGAAATTTATTATGGTATCATGGCAACTTTAAATTTGAATAAATAAAATTATTATATTTTGCTAACTAAAGAACGTGCATATATGCTTGGCTGAGGAAAAGGACATACTTGTATTGTCCAGCTGGAGATATTTTAGTAGAAATTGTAGAACAATAATTGAAGGTCTAAGT